GGCAGGGTGGCGCTTGTAATCCCAGATCCTCAGGAGACCTGAAGCAGGAGAATCACTTAAATCCGGGAGGCCGAGGTTGCAGTGAGCTGAGATCATGCCACTGCACTCCAGCCTGAGCAAAAAAAGAAATCTGTCTCAAAAAAAAAAAAAAAAAAAAGCAAACCAAACTCTTTTATATACATGCTGAAATACTTATAGATGAAACATAAGTTTTCCTTTTGCTTCCAAATAACAAGGCGGTGGCTGGGGGCGGTGGCTCACACCTGTAATTCCAACACTTTGGAAGGCCTAGGCAGGCAGACCGCTTGAGGTCAGGAGTTCGACACCTGCCTGGCCAACATGGTGAAACCCTGTCTCGACTAAAAATACAAAAATTAGCCGGGCATGGCGGCGCACACCTGTAGCCCCAGCTACTCGGGCAGAGGCAGGAGAATCGCTTGAACCTGGGAAGGGGAGGTTGCAGTGAGCTGATATCAATGCACTCTACTCCAGCCTGGGCATGGCATCAAGATTCCATCTCAAAACAAACAAACAAAAACAAATAATGAGGGGGTATATGAATGGGGTAAAAATACAAAAGGGTTGGCCAAGTATTAATTTGCTGATGCTGAGTACATGGGGTTTCTTAGCCTTTTCAACTTTTCTATATGTACTGGATTTTCCATAATAAAAGTTTTGAAAAGTAAAAATATGAAATGAGAAAACTAAGACGAATATTGCAGGTATAGGAATGTTAATTTCTTTACCACCTAATTTCTTTAACATCAAATAAGAGAATTTTACCAACCTGTTTGCCAACTTTTTCTCTGCGTTAGTGTGTTTCTTCTTCGCTTTCACTTTTTTTGCAGGTTCTTGCAAAAGTGGTCTTTCAATCTGGGATGTACTTTCTTCCTCCTCATTCCGTTTCCTTTTTTTGATGGTTTCCTTTTTAAAAGTTTGAAGTTATATTTGAGACCCCATCCTTTTAGAATTCTGACCCTAAGCCATAATTTAGTGGTCTTTCTAAATGAGCATCTCTTCTCTCTCACTGGTATGTAAGAGTCATGAAAGGTAACTTACAATGAATCCTGTGTGCCCCCTTTAGAAATCGCGCTTCACGCGGTAGGTAAGAAGCCTGTTTCATATGTAAGTGGTTTTAACCAGGTATTCGGGAAGAAAGCCCAGTGACTTACTTTAGGCACAGGCACGTACACGGGTTGAATCTGGGGCTCCAGAGAACTGAAGAGGGCCGCCAGCCGACTGGTGCCACCTCTGGAATGGTGCTCGCCGCGGCATAAGCTACTGGCGACCTGTCCAACCCTGTAGTCTCCCGGCGGACTCCCGCGAACGCCGTCGTCAGGGTTCTCTCTAGAAACGGACGCCAGAAACTCAGCCACGCCACGCACCACCGCTTCGCCAGCACGAGGGAACGTACAACATCCCTCCCCAGCTACTCGTGCCGCGCGCCACTCACCCCTCCTCGACACTTCTCTTTCTCTTCCGTTTGTTCATCCCTTCCAAGGCCATTCTCACTCCGAGAACTCCCAGACGGCAGCGGCGCGCGAGCTCGCACTTCCGGGTTCCGGGCACTTCCGCTCTCGGGCCACGCCCCCTCCTCCCCCGGCAGTCGGCCGCCAAGCCGCGGTGGGAGGCGCTCGGTGAGGCGTCAGGTTTGTCCCCTTTGGTTGGTGGTCCTTGCCGTTTCAGAGAAGCCTCATTTTGGGAGTGGAGGACGTCTTCTAGGAGTGATTGAAGCCTGCAGTGTGAAGAATCAGCCAGGCTAGGAGCGGGGTGTCCACCCAAGCCAAGGGAGAAACACGTAAAATACTGACTTGTTGAAAAGGAGGGAGGGTTGGCAAGAAATGAGGTTGGGGGTGAACGCAGTGGGGTGTTTACAACTGGCTAGTCGCTGTTAAGAGTACAAAGAGTTCTCTGTACTCTTCTTGCAACTTTTCTGAAATATGACATTATTCCAAAATAAAGACCACACCTCTAACGAGTCACGTCAACATACAAATTCGAAAGATTGTAATACGGCCCTGGAAAAGTAGATACTTGGCATTCAAAACTCTTCAAGGTGTTCTCAGCCCGTCTTCCCAGACTCATCTCCCTCCAGCCCCTGACATTCTAGTCTGCTTTTTCCACCGCCTCTACAGTTGTTATTCTTGTTCCCTCTGTTGTAATTGCCCTCCTCTTTCCCCTTATGCAAAATAATGCCCATCCTTCAAGGCCTAGCTCAGATACTGTCTAACTTAGTGTTTTCTTTGCAGCCAGGCGCGGTGGCTCGCCTGTAATCCCAACACATTTGGAGGCCGAAGCAGGAGTAATGCGTGAGGACTAGGAGTCTGAAACCAGCCTGGTCGATCTAGCGAGACTTCCTCTCTACAGAAAACAAATTATAGGGGCACCTTTGTGCTCCGCGCCTGATCTTGGCTCATTGCAACCTCCACCTCCCCGGTTCAAGCGATTCTCCTGCCTCAGCCTCCCGAGTAGTTGGGATTACAGGCATGTGCCACCACGCCTGGCTAATTTTATATTTTTAGTAGAGACAGGGTTTCTCCATGTTGGTCAGTCTGGTCTCGAACTCCCGACCTCAGATGATCCTCTCGCCTTGACCTCCCAGCTTGCTGAGATTACAGGTATGACCCACCACACCCAGCTCGGTAGCAGATACTTACATAAGAAAACAGACTACAAAAGAACTTGTGGTTGGAGATAGTTTTAAAATTATCTTCATTGCCATTCAGTGCTGTTTTTAACCATTTAGAGATCACTGACCGCTTTGAGAGTTTGAAATATGAGGACATGGTGGGGCAAGGTGGCTCACGCCTATAATCCCAGCACTTTGGGAGACCAAGGCGGAAGGAATGCAAGCCCAGGAGTTTCAGATCCACGACTGCACCATTTGCACTCCAGTCTGGCAACAAGAGCAAAACTCTGTCACAAAAAAACAGAAGGAGGCCGGGTGCAGTGGGTCACGCCTGTAATCTCAGCACTTTGGGAGGCCGAGGTGGGTGGATCATCTGAGGTCAGGATTTTCAGACCAGCCTGGCCAACATGGTGAAACCCTATCTCTACTAAAAATACAAAAATTAGCTGGGCGTAGTCATGGTCGCCTGTAATCCCAGCTAGTCGGGAGGCTGATGCAGGAGAATCGCTTGAACCCGGGAGGCAGAGGTTGCAGTGAGCCGAGAATGCGCCATTGCACTCCAGCCTGGGCAACAGAGCGAGATTCTGTCTAAAACAAAACAAAACAAAAGAAATTAACAAGACCCCACTCTAAAGTTTTTTCAGTAGGAAGAAAAAAAAAAAAAAAACCATTTTAGAGAACACCGTTAAGAAACCTATCATCTTGGCCGGGTGTGGTGGCTCACACCTGTAATCCCAACACTTTGGGAGGCTGAGGCGGGCAGATCATGAGGTCAAGAGATCGAGCCCATCCTGGCTAACACAGTGAAACACCCCCTCTACTAAAAATACAAAAATTAGCCGGGTGTGGTGACACGCGTGCCTGTAGTTCTAGCTACGCGGGAGGCTGAGGTAGGAGAATCACTTGAACCTGGGAGGCGGAGGTTGCAGTGAGCCAAGATTGTGCCACTGCACTCCAGCCTTGGGCAACAGAGCAAGACTCCTTCCAAAAAAAGAAAAAGAAAAAAAAAAAAGAAAAACATACAATCTTAATATGTTAATTGTAAACTAACTTAGTAAAGTCTAGTTTACAGAAGTAGACATAGGTCAGTTCTACTAATGCAATAAAATCCTCAAACCCTCTTAAGAAGCTAGGAAGTAGAACAAGAAGGCAGGTGAGACAGAGGCACAAAGGTATTAATATCGACTCCAACAAAATTTGGAACAATTCCCCTATTCAGCACTGTTTCTGTAACATACTCAGTACATGATATTAAAAGCTTCAAAAAACAGGGTTTCATGATTAGGTAGGATTGAAAACAGTAGGGTAAAGGAAGTTATTTAAGCAGGTATCTCTTCACAGGCCTTCTCTCAAAGTTTTTAATATGCAAACACTGTGGTTCTCTAAGAAAAGAATGTGATATACATAGATTTCCCAAAATGTATTTGGTTATAAATTCCCAGAGCATTTCCAGGGAGCAGTATTCTAGGAATTCATTTTGGGAAGCATCGTTCCACAGATTTAAAAGATCATCCCTTAAACTAATTTTTGTGAAAATAAAGGGCCACCACAAAGATGCTTTAAAAAATATGTATTTGAGCTTTCTAGGCCTTAAAAAAGTTTATTTCCTTTCTCTTTTTTTTTTTTTTTTTTTTTGAGACTGAGTTTTGATCTTGTTGCCCAGGCTGAAGTGCGATGGTGCAATATCGGCTCACTGCAACCTCCACCTCCCGGGTTCAAGCAATTCTCCTGCCTCAGCCTCCCTAGTAGCTGGGATTACAGGCATGTGCCACCATGAACAGCTAATTTTGCATTTTTAGTAGAGACAGGGTTTCACCATGTTGGTCAGGCTGGTTTTGTCCTGACCTTAGGTGATCCACCCGTCTCGACCTCCCAAAGTGCTGGGATTACAGGTATTGAGCCACCACGCCTGGCCTTTGTATTAAAGAAAGGTTTTCTTTTGGTAGAAAGTCCAATAAGTGGGGCCAAAAAAACTAGATTATGGATTTTTAAAAGTCTGCGGCAAAGCAGTGTTTCTCAACCCAGATGCATATTAGTACCACTGGAGACCCTTAAAAATTAAAGATCAACATCCAGGTACTACCCCCAACCAATTAAATATAACTCCTTGGGAGTGGGGTGTGAGTACTGAATATACTTTTAACAATGTCCAGATGATTGCAATGTGCAATAGAACACACTGAAGTATAAAAGACCCCGAAGGGTCTAAATTAAAAATTTTTTAAAAGCTGCTGGTAATGGTTTCAAGTGTTAAATAAAAAAATAATAATTTTCTAATTTGGACAATTCTCCAAGTGGTAAGAAAAATATTTAAATTCAGACTCAAGCAAAATAGTGTATGCAAAGATAAAAGAATGCCTAGGTCGGGTGCAGTGGCTCATGCCTGTAATCCCAGCACACTGGGAGGCCAAGGTGGGTGGATCACATGAGGTCAGGAGTTTGAGACCAGCCTGACCAGTATGGTGAAACACCGTCTCTGCTAAAAAATATAAAAATTAGCCAGGTGTGCTGGCAGGTGCCTATAATCCCAGCTACGTGAAGGCTGAAGCTAGAGAATTGCTTGAACCCAGGAGGTGGAGGTTGCAGTGAGCTGAGATTGCACCACTGCACTCTAGCCTGGGTGACAGAGCAAGACTCCATGTCCAAAAAAAAAAGAATGTCTAATACATTCCTTATCTGGTTAATAGACTTTTAATTTTCATAGGTAGACTCTTCCCTTTTTTGTGTATCAATTAATCCCGTGATAATACATGCTGGATATGTATGTTCCAGTCAGTCATCACATACAGAAATGAACTAAAATTACTAAATCTTTTAGAAACAAAAATCAAGGATTCACAAACTATGGCATTTTATTTCAGAGCCTTTGCTTACATTTGTACAATATATTACATAATTCTTCATTGTTTGCAGATCCTAATATATACTTTATAGCTTTTATTCTATAAGCTTTTTCTTCAACATTTTGCTGTCAACAAATCTTTACAGTCCTGTACAAATTTGAATAACTTGAAACCATTTTCAACAAAATTAGTTACTGTAAGCACACACTACAAGACTGAAAAAGCTTTTCTTAGAAAAGTTGAATGTAAAGGATTCTGACACGTTAGCATCTACAACAAAACGCATTGAAATTCTCACATGTCGTATTGCCAGAAACAAATAAAACATGCCAGCCCCATTCAAAAAAAGTACACAGAACTACAATTAAAACAGTAAAACAGTCTGTACAATAAAGTACTGTGTATTAACAGTGCCAGGTATTAAATAGCTTCAATGAACACATCCGCAATATACAAATGTCTTACAAAGGTGAAGAATTAAATACAAGTGCCAAACAGAACAGAGATTGGAATCATACAACATAAAGTCAATACAAGTGAAAACAATTTTGCATTCATTTTGGATTCTATACAAGGCATTTAATTTTAAAGGCCTACCACCCCCATTAGCTATTTATATTTAAAATAACCACCATCCTTTTGAGACAGTTCATATCAACAATCTTCAACCATACTAATACATTACTTGTTCCTGAAGTCCTTTTGTTGTAGCTCATAATAAAATAAGCAATACAAATGAATTATCTGTATTTAAGGGAAAAGAAACATTTACAAGAAAACACAAAAATATAACTGTTATAATTCATTATGAATAAATATACACTTTGAACTGGCTAAGTACAATCTTTATACATTGTTTAAGATTTAATACAGTTTATTAGCCATTTTCTTTTTTCACACAATGTATTATATCAAAATTAAAAAAAAATACTGATTTATAGAAAAATGGCAAAGTACAGTAGTTCCATTCCAATTTGAAGGGGCATGAAAAGCCACTGCAAGACCTTTTAGCCTAATTCAAACCTGTAAACATGTTCAGTCTTTTTATTTTAAAGAGAATCTTTAATATTTGGTTACCAGGATTGATGTCTGATATCCTGTTAACTGCAGGTTTTGAATTTATTACATGTGCTTGACTTATACAATTAAAGCCACCCTAAGGTGACTTGCTTTAAAAAACAATTACCTTGTACAAATGAAAATAGGTTCATATTTTTTCATAAATAAATGGAAAAATATCAAATGTTCCAGCTTTAACAAAATACAAGGGAATACATATACAGTAAGTTATCTTAACATGTTCGGACCCACCCCTTAACTATGCTTACTGTATTGTCTCTACAGGCAGTGAAAAGCCTCCATTTGCCACAGTGGAAGGCCTTCAAGTTACCAGACACACAATTCCCAGACAAGTTGGA